GTTCAGGGCTTAGGGTTCAGGGTTAGAACTCAGAGATTTGTCCTAAGCTCGGAACCGCAAACCTGTTGAACCAGGGTAGAAGAGCCCTAATAAATAGAATTGGGTTTTGGTGTATGTTATTGAAAAACAACAAGGAACCTTTGAGGAACAATAATGATACCCTAAACCCTAAACCGTGCATTTATGTTGGGCTGCGGCGCACCTCCTCCAGAACACGGTAGGTCCCCTGACAGGATGCCGCTTGCAAAAGAGAAAAAAGGGTTTAGGGTTTAGGGGTTAGGGTTTAGGGTTTAGGGTTTAGGGTTTAGGGTTTAGGGTTTAGGGCGCACCTCGGGTTTGAGAAAGGACCCTCGTATAGCCATTCCTGGTGAGAAGGTCATGATAAGGACCCCGAAATGAGGCTTCTCAGGGTTTCGATGTAAGGGTACAAGAGAAGGTATTAGGGTTTAGGGTTTAGGGTTTAGGGTTTAGGGTTTAGGGTTTAGGGTTTAGGGAAGGTATTATGCGGGCTACTTTAAGGTCGCATGATACTGGGATGCCTGATATAGAAACTAAGAAGTAGGATCTAAGCCAGAACCTCAATAGCTTGAGGGCGGCACCCGTCAAGCGCAAGAAGCCCTATGAAAAAGGCAACCAACAACCAGGCTTTGGGGTGTAGGGGCGGGGGTTCAAGGTTTTGGTGTTCAGGGTTTAGGGTCTAGGGTTTAGGGTTTAGGGTCTAGGGTTTAGGGTTTAGGGTTTAGGGTTTAGGTTTTAGGGCTAGGGTTTAGGGTTCAGGGGTTTCGAGCATAGGGGTTTTTGGGTTTGGGGTTGAAGGCTGAGCGCTTGGGGAGTAAGCTTCGGGTCGCATTTGTGCTTGGTGTGTTGCAGGCATCCTTTTAGGAATTAGGGTTTAGAGATTTTGTCTCGAAGTGTAGAAGCCTGAATAGCTAAACGAGGGTACAGGCACCTATTCAAAAGAAACTCCGGGTATGACTTCTTGATCGCCGTCTAAGCCCTAAAAACCTGTACCCTATCTTGGTTGCTGTTCCACAGGAGTGCTCTTGACACGACACTTGGCTCCTGAAGCTTGAAACCTTAAAACATGCTTTCAAGCCCAACACCTACGGCTCAGAGGTTCAGGCTTGGGGGGATTAGTTCTGGTATAATATCCATCACGCTGAGACGCACATAGATGCAAAGGGTGACGGACTACCTACCACCGAAATGCTGTGCCACACGTCTACCCGTATCTTATGATTTGGCTTGAAGCGACCAAGGCCCCAAACACGAAAGCAAGCTCTCCTAATCTTCTTCCAAACCTTAAACCCTAAATCATGAATCGTGGCTCAAAGCATGAATCTTCAACCACACAGCCTAAGGTGTATTCTCGAAGCCTGGCACCCTAAACCGCGAAGCCCCGTTCTTGGAAGTGTTGCCTGGATGTTGCTCGGCAAGACGTCAGAGAGAAAGTCTGCATGAGGCCTGTTGCACTCAACTCGGCTTCGGAGAAATTGGCAAGATAGGGGCATTCATGTGTTCAATAGGGCTGCGGGGGTATCTCATAACATACTAAGGACAACAAGGAACCCTGAGGAATGCTTGTAGAAGTCATTATGGCATCTATGCTGAGACCAGGTTTCGGAGGCTTGGGTTTACGGCATAAGTATTTATTTAGGTCCCTGTACTACGCCCTGAACTGTTGGGGAGAGATTTGTACTGCATGCCACAATTAACTCTAACAAGAACTGTAGGAGGAGGTAGGTACTTCTCTAAATTGATTGGGGCCCTATTTACAAAGGATGCTGCACTACTTTTGGGTTCAAAAAGAGGGGCCCTAATCTAGAGAACTACCCATGGACCACTACTAATTCCGAACCCCACAGTGCCGCAAACTTTTGGATGGAACCCGGAGCTCCGAAGCGCTAGCAAAAATTGAACCCCAAACCCTAAACCTTAAAATCCAAAGGCTTGGGGCCTGAATAATTAGCAATTGGGCTTCGGGGCTACAGTGTAGTACACTTATATCCCTAAACCCTTAAACCTAAACCTAAAACCCTAAACCCTCACCCTAGGTAGTATTATTAGGGGTACCCCTTAAAGGGTACCCCTTCTGAACCCTACTTTTGGCTCTCTTAAAAGGGACCTTATTGAGAGGGTCTATATCCCCAAGGGCCCCCCTAATCCGAGCTCCCACACCCTATACCCTAAACCCCTTAAGGATAGTTTTTTTCAGTAATCATACAGGCCCAAGACTCGATTAAACCCTCAACTACGGCCCCCAGCTGCCTGCCATCAGCGGCCAGGTGGATGACGGTGTCGCAACCGTCGAAAGCCCCTTCAAGGGCCCCCTGACAGGAGGCACTTGGAGGTTCATGGGTAGTTATAGATGGGGTTATAAGTAGGGTACCTATAATCATAACCCATATTAGGGTCCGGGGGACTTCGCAAGCAATGTAGGGCCCTTAGTCGCCACTCAAAAGCCGCATAGAAACGCTGACAGAGCCTCTAAATTAAAACCCTATAAAGACGCCTTCGGGGGACCACGTGGGATCTGCAAGAGAGGCATGGGTCCAGAAGGTTTAGGGTTTAGCGTTAAGGATAGAAGGGTTCCTTGAAAAGGGCTGCTACCAGGGTTCAATCATGCTCTATGACATAGGAACCATAACCCTAAACCCTGGGGGGGGGAGGGGGCCTTAGTACTTCGAACAAAGCTTTACAAAGCTTTGCCAGGTTTCGCTGATGTCTTACGCGGGTTCTGTAAGGTTCGTCACAAGGGCGCTTACTAACTGTATTGGAGTTTGGCAGGGATTTCGGCATACTTAGTATAAGGAAGCTTAAGGAACTTAGCAGCGCTATGAGATCTATAGGAAAGAACACTGCGCACCAAAGCAAAACCAAACCCCAACCCCCCCCCCCCCCCCCGCTCACCCCCCTTCAAGGAAACTTTGTGCCATAGGTAACTCTTCTGGAATCTTTTTATGAGCCCGCCCCTAAACTCTGAACCCTGAAGCCAAAACCCGAAACCCGAAACCTCATTGAAGGATCCCTTTAAAGAAGCTACTTTCAAGAAGCCCTTCAAGAAACCTTACAGGACCCCTAAACCCTAAACCCT